AGGTTGATCTGGTCTTGCATAGTCATTTATAAATCCTTTTTGTCTGAACCGTTGCTGTAAGACCTAAAAGGGGAATGTCTGACGTGAAATTGCCTAGCAATAGCATGTTGACAAATTTCTGTCTATAGTGCTTTACTAGATTTTTTGGGGTAGACAAACTTGAAAAGATTGGACCACTCTTATTTATTTTCTGTAACACTGTCTCATAGGTAAAGATTCGTGAAATCTAATGTTTGTTGAAAATTGTAGTATAAATGTTTTACATTATAAATAAGATATTCGGGCATCCGAAATATTTGTACGTTCTTTTGATAACAAATAAGCCATTGCTCCGTGTTAGGGACCGTACTTTGACCTATAATGGTTTACTTTTATAAATTGTGACTTGGATGGAGAGTTGTCTCATTGGCACTCATACCACATCTTCTTATATCTATATGCAAGGGTTATAAGTAAATCAAAAATGAAAATGAATTATGCTAGTCAATGAGATTGGCTAAAATTATATAATCGTTAAGGAAATTTGAATTTAGAAAACACAGTTTTTGTCGTAAATTGAAATATAAGTTTTCGTTATAAATCAGAATTATCTTAATCAATCACGTTTTATCTCACAATTCGTAAGACTAGCAAGGTAAACCTTTAAAGTATCGAAACTGTATTTTATTCATTTAGAAACTACGTTTCCAACCCCCTTCGGGAAAATTGACTTTAGCTGAATTTGGCTATTTGGTTTAGGTCCTTTTTTGTTCATATAGCTCCTGATGAGAACCTTGCAGCATAATTTCAGATGTGATGTTAATGTTTGGGTATTACTGGTGGAAGTAAATAAAGAATAAGCTTCTGACTTACGATATTCATAAAGTGTTTACTTCATTTGCTAAAGAGACACACAGAACAATATTTTTAATAGATTGTGTTTTAACCTACAATCTTAGATACTTACAAAATATAAACTAAAATAATGCACTAGAATCGTAAAACATAAATTACATTTTCATAACATGTCTTCTAGGTCCGATGTAGTTTGAAAATTAGATTAAAATTTGTAAATCTAACTAATCTATAAAAAGATATAACAATTTCTGTGACAAAAGAACAATCATATTGCTGTCTTGTTAACGACACTTACATGGAAGGTTAAGCCATAGACAAGGTATAATATATTCTGAAATTTAAGCTTAACAATGACATAAAATAACAAGCTTTTGGTTTCTTGTATAAAAATGGAATCATTTCTCTTTTGTTGAGAATAATGGCAACATTTTGTAAGTCAAAACAGCATAGAAAACAATTTGGTATTACAGCCATAGTTATAATATATATATTTTCATATCAACATTACAATAGAAACCATCTCATATCATATACAACGTAATACATTATTATCTGAAGCCAGATATAATATTCCCATTAAGATAATATAACCTATTACAGTAATATTATTGTAATTAAGCTCAGTGAATACATTATTCAGTCAAAATATAACATGAAAGATATCATAAATTCCATCAATGGTCAGCACACAGCCGCTTCTCTTCACCAATAGTGGCCAATGTTGACATCTTTAGTTACAATTATTCACGTTGTTTATCAGGATATAAATGACAATATTATGATATGTTTTCTTCTCTATCTATTGATCAATATCATGACAGAGGTATCTCAGAGGTTTATACTGATTACAAGTTTTGACGTTATATTTTACCGTTTTATCATAGTTTATTTATTATGTACATTTTTACACAAAATTAGCATGACAATATCGTTCCAAAATCACAATTTTTGGGTGGTGATACTATTTTTATTCATAAAACTAATAAATACAAAACTATGAAAGGAGATGTATGCCAGGACATGCAATAGCTTTTGTAGCATTGGTATTTTCAGTTGATGTGTTTCTATTTAGCACTATTTCCTTTCAGATATGTGTTGCTTTAGAAAAACGATAGACGTACAAAAATAATAAAAACACTTTCGTTTCCCAGCCATATGTTTTAACGGGTTTTGTGTGTGTTATAACTGAACACTTTCTTCCTTCTTAAAGAATCATGTATGGTTATTGAATGTACAAATCCTTTTATTTCGTGCGCATTTTGAAAAATAAGAGCCTCAGAAATAAACATCATGAGGTCTAATGTGAATACTGTAAGGCGGTAGTTTTAAGCTGGATTTTGTTTTCTCCATAGTTTCTAAAAGTTTGACATGATGTTACCTAAGAATATTAATGTTATCTCAATAATCAACTTTGATTAAATGATAATTTCTGATATATATTTACATTTTAATTTTGATATCAAAATTCGACACGAAAAAAACAATTTGCCTTTACACTTACAACGAAAATATTTTACATTAAATTAAATTACCTACTTTGATTCTGATAAAATGTATTATAATAATTATATGTTAAATAACGTGATTATTACATCAATACAGATATCAATTCAATGTGAAGTTAGACACTTCAACCAAGATTATAGCCGATTTTAAAGTATATCAATAACATTAACTAGTTTGTATAATAATTATTACATGAGTGTTCTACGGCAGGCATCTTTCGAGGACTAATGAAATAGCGAGGTAATAAAAAGCAATGGGCACAAATGAGGCTAACTTAATACAATATTAAAATATATAAGCAATTAGGAGCTTATATTTATCCACAAAAAGAGGTATGAACTTATGCAATAAAAGTATATTCTTCTTACGTTGTATTGCACGATTCCTTTTAGCGCAGACTGATTTCACTGTTCTGCATCTGTATCAGTTTTAAGGATCAGCTGACTTAACTGGTACACTTTGTCCATTACCTTGCAAATAGCAATGAGAATTCTTCCAATTATGAGTTTTAGATAATGATTTTGTATCCATATCTTTTCTTAAATATCAACTCTAATTACATTTTCATGAATCAATATCTACTGTATATAAGCCAAAGACTTACATGAAATATTTAGTAGAGTACCAAAAGACAGTATTGCATTGATATTGACACAGTCGGTAAACATTACAAAAAATACCAACAAAATATCAAAAATGTATACGTTAGTTAACGACAGTGAAAAAATTTTTCTGAATTTCCAGTAGTAGGTACCAAGGGGCAATCGAAAATCATTAGTCATACAACATACATACACCATCATGAATGAATCTAAAAGGAAGAAACGACAAACAACAATATAATGTTACACACAACACTTAAGATTTAGTAACACGAAACCTAACAAATCCTGGATTGGACTCAGGTGCCCCGGAAGGACCGACAGTAAACTGTAACAGCTATAAATATGGACATCTGTGACATCTATCTGACATCAAATTCCTCAATATTTATTTGAAATCCATATTGAATGTGAATGGATTTCCCTGGTTATGGAAAAGTTTAGTTATCATTTCCTTTATGATATCTCGGGTCTTTCTTTTTCTTTGATTGAATGAATGAATTTTATATTTTTGAATATATTTTTGGATATATAACATGAATAAGAGCATCATGTATTTGAATATATGTCACGAAGACTACATCCCAAAGATAAAAATAACAAAAGATAAACAGGTAAACAAACGAGCTTTTTCGGTAAACAAGTTATGAAATAATATCAGCAATAAATCTAAGTCTCAACAAGACTAAAACATGTGCTTATTTCAACAGAGACATTGCACCGTCTGCCATTAATACCAAACTCCCAAATAATTCTTTAATAACGGCATAACATATAAAAAAAATACAACTACAAACTAAACCACAATTAACTCGTAATAAGATGTGTTCCGTGATTAAAAAAACAGATTCAAAGTACTCTCTGCCATTCTCCAGACACTGTGCATTGTATTTATTTTCAATCGTTTGCTAATCATATATCAAAGACAATATGCAGTTACCGTGCAATTCGTTATTCATAAACTTTGACACGAACGACAATGAACACGTTAAGACTTCGGACAAAAAAAACAAATCAAAAATGCAAGGCCAAACAGCTATATGACCGGAACGAACGTCTCGTAAGAATTAAGAAACTGAATTCGAAGGATAGCAAGAACATGTTATAAAAATATAGAAACAGAAGATGTGCTATTTCAGCTATTGAGACAACTATCAATCAGAATCCAAATTTAGTGTAAGTAAGCAGCTAAAGGTTGGTTACCTACGGCCTTCAAAATTGAGCAACACACATTAAATACAGTAAGCTATGAAATGTCCCGAAATGACAAAATTTAAAACAATTTAAACGAGAAAACCAAGGTTCTGATATATTTTCTACCCCAGGAAAAGATATATTACCATAGCTGTATTTCGCAAAACCATTCTGATTATTGGGTTCTCAATATTTTTCAACTTCGTACTTTATTTGGCCTTTTTATCTTTTTTTATTCGAGCTTCACTGATGAGTCTTTTTGTAGACACAACTCACGTGTCTGGCGTACAAAATATTAATCCTAGTGTCTATGATGAGTTAAATTATAATAAATAAGCAAAGCACAAATTGAACTGGCAACAACTAAAGAAAACCACTGAATCAGGCTCCCTACCTGAGACAAGTACATACTGAATTTGGCGTGTTTGGACATGTTTGCAAGAGCTTGACCCGTTCCCTGATCTCAGATAGTAGTGCAACATCATTAACTAAGAGCAAACTGTATATATCAGCTGAAAGGGTTTTGCTTTGGGAATTAATTGGGTGAATTATGATGGTTAGGTCTGTTTAAATGAAAAATATTACTTTGTGAAGAACCATACTTATTTTTACAACAAATACACCGAAGATTATATCATCAAAATGACATATTTTTTTTTCGACAACCTATTTGTTGAGTTTGCATTGGTAGATCGATGTTTCAGCAGGCAGTCGATATTCCAATGTGTTGTCATTGAGCACCACTATAGGAAGATTTTTTTTTGTGCTCATGTAAAGCAGAATGCATACAAAATCTTCTCAAAGACAACAAGAAAAAGCATCTTGCAAAGTTTTTTAATATGACTTTCAGATATATTGATGATGCCTTTGATGTGTGCTATTTGAATAAGTTCGCAAATGTAAGAGTTATAGATTTTTAATGTTAAATTAATATGCTGTTTGATATCCGCCTTTATCTATTTCCTTAGCAGCATGAAAACCTCGCTTTATACCGATTTGTGCCATGTCTGAAAACAGAAAATGAATAAATATTCTTAATATCTAACGTCATAGTTCTAGATTGGTTTAACAAACCGATGACAAAGTTTGATTACAATAGGAAACATGCTATTATAGTATGTAATTTTCTTTAATTTCAATAATACCAAAACATTTCAAGCTTGCCTATTTCGCAAGATTGAGTAATAAATACGACCTTATGAAGTCAGATCTACCGAACCATATCAAGCATTGTTTGTCCATTTTTAACTTGTATATCATCAGACGGTAATACGAATAGAATCAGACAAATACTGCATTACTTGTGGAAGAACAACCGTATAGATGGAAATATCAAATTCATGATGGATATACAAAAAGAGAGGCGAAGGATACAAAGGGATATTCAAACTCATAAGTCGAAAAAACAGGGGGTGAACTCAGGTGCTCCGGAAGGGTAAGCAGATCCTGCTCCACATGTGTCCGTCGTGTTGCTCATGCAAGTACATACAAGCATGACAGAAATACAACATTCATGGTTCAAATACATCATATAATAATAAATGATGAAAAAAATATCTATGACAAAAATGTAACATGTATGAGAGGTATAAAACAAGATCTTTGAATATTGTTGCCATTGGCACTAACATCGATTTTTTTCATCAACAAATTAAAACATAACTAAATTTGTGTTCTTTTTGAATGGTTTTCTGGGATGTATATATACACATCCATGTTTATTTTCTTTTTAGAAATTGTTTTATCTATATATAACATCATACATATTTATTATAAGGTTAAATCCTAACTATCCTACTGCATGTCGTTACTTTTATTTTGGCATTGCACAAGTCATGTCTTCTTTTACTGTCCATGGCGTTAAAACACTTAATCCCTGTCTGGGGTGTGTTTTAATTGATTTTAGTCTCGGTGTATGATTTTTTATTATCAATTGTTTTTGGCTTTTAACTAGCTTTAGAATTTAGTATGACGATAAATTTTCACTTCTGTACTCGTACTATGAACAACAAATTTATTTTCTAAAAAATGTTTCGCTACTCCGAACAACAAAATTATTATATTTAAATTAACCTGTGTGCGTTACTTTATTTAACACCATTTTGTCCTAGGTTAACGTTGTCTTTTTGACATTAATACACCTTTTTTATTTATATTGTGTCATAGATCAAACTTATTCGTTCAGTGTATATTTACTTGTTTTTGTTAATATGTCTTATTAATCGAGTTAAGCCATTTCAATTGATATTTTATTGTGTGTCTTTTTATGTTGTAATGTTACACCACTGTTTCAGGTTAGGGTGAAGGTTGGCGCCTGTTAAAACGTTTAAACCCGTTGCATTTTTATGCACCTGTCCTAAGTCAGGAGCCTGTTGTTCAGTGGTTGTCGGTTGTTGGTGTGGTTCATAAGTGTTTATCGTTTCTCGTTTTTTATATAGATTACACCGTTGGTTTTCCTGTTTGAATTGTTTTACACTAGCCATTTTGAAGCCCTTTATAGCTTGCTGTTCGGTGTGAGCCAAGGCTCAGTGTTGAATGCCGTACTTTGACTTATAATTGTTTACTTTTTACACATTGTGACTTGGATGGATAGTTGTCTCATTGGCAATCATACCACATCTTCTTATCTATAGTTCTTTCATATTTCAAGATATTGAGAGAGTGGAGTACACACAACACTAATTTGTCCCTAACACCTGTGAGTGTGTTTGTTTTATTCAAAATTTGCGTACGTAGTTGTAATAATAATTCTTTGTTTTAATTCAGGTTTAAATGTCGAACGTTAATCTACAGTGTGAATCCGATGTAGATACTAACAAAATCCAAAGATCTGTTAGCGTACATACATTCTAAGTCACTTTCCACTTGCAATAGTTTAGAAAACATTTGACTTTTCTACTCTTCACACATCTATTCTCCATTCCGAACTTGTAAGACAAATTGAAAGAATTGGCCTACTGTGTTACATAAAAAAGAATGGCCAACGTTGATACAAATATATTGTTTCAAGGAGAATAATCAATAGTTTGTAAATAACATTCTGATGAATAAAATCTTTTCTGAAACTGGCACTATCTGGATGCTTGATTTTTTGATTGACAACAAATTTGATACATTTGAAAGACGAGATTTTCAACAAACAATCAGCATCTCACGGATACCAAATGTGCTCCTCATATCGCCGCCTTGTTCCTTTATTCAAATGAGGCAGACTTCACACAAGAGTTCTTAGGAGGAAGAAAAGAATATATTCTTAAACTTCACTTTCCGCATAGAGATGATGTCCCCTCACTAGAATATTCAGAGTTTGGTGTCCATGTTGAACGCGTCTATCCCAGTGAGCTTGGAATAAAGGATTCGACAGATACAAGTAAGTCTTTCTCATATCTTGACTTACATATAGAAATTGTCAAGGAAGGTCTGTTGACAATAAAACTTTACTACAAAAGAGATGATTTCAGCTTCCCAATTGTGAACTTTCCATTTTTTTAAATTTTAAATATGTAGCAGCACTCCAGCAGATTATATATCCCACATTTGATACAATATCACAGAGCTGACGTTTCCTATAAAGATTTCCTTGATATAGAGTTTCTGCTTAATCAATAATTTCTGCAAGGGGTGATGTTGAAGTCATTCCTTCGAATGTTCACGCCGTCACAAGATGGTTGACAGTTATGGAATATCTGTTTCACCGATAACGACAGATATGTTCCAATTGTCGTTACCACAACCCCGTTCTCTTTTCATTAAATGTTGCATCACAGAATCTATACTTACATGAGCAACACGACGGGGACCACGTGTAGAGCAGAATCTGCTCACCCATCCGGAGCACCTAAGATCAACCCTGGTTTTTGGTGGGTTTCGTGTTGCTGAGTGTTTAGTTTTCTAGGTTCTGTTATGTAGACGTCTTTCTGTTGTTTTTTTTTTCGATTTTTTGCCATGGCATTGTCAGTTTGTGTTCGACTTTTCAGTTTGAGTGTCCTCTATGTGTCTTCTGCCACTTTATATACGCGTGTATGCTCGTAATTAACACATACTTTTACAACTTTTGCAGCAATATTTCCACATGATATGACTGTTTGTGTAACAATCGCCTCTACTGACCCTTTCATAGCAACCTTTTACTCGGTCTTTACAATGTCCTGTAATATAGATATAGAAGGTGTGGGTTTTCTCATATCCTCCAATACTTGCCAATAAATAACATTATGGTTTTGGTCAATATAATCCAATATATATGAATAATGGCATTTTTGTTTTTGATACTGACTTTTTCAGCAAGAATATCAAGCGAGCCTGCAAATTCGAGCTGATGAAGTCGGTATAAAAAAATAGCATGCCATATATATTGAATACATTATCAATTTCCCCCACCTTTGTAGCAATATACCAAGTTCACCTGCATATGGAATATACATTTCCCAACTCATTCGGTATTCAAGAGCTTGCAGCTGCTACTCAGACTTTATAAAACGTCACCAGTGTCTGAGCAGAAGGTTGATGAACCAGGGTTATGTCAAAAAACGTCCCGTCCTTTTTCTAAAAATGTTCATTGGAAGATACCAAGACCTTGTTGATAAATTTCCCGTATCAACTTCACAAATAATACACGATGGTCTTGAAGTACAGATTCTAGGTACTGACGTTGTTTATTTTCTTAATAACGTGTTATAGTGTTTTTTACTTGTCTTTGTAAATTATTAACCTGTACTGTTTAGTCCATTTTTGGTAATATCCTTTTGCCTTGGCTCGGTACTTATGCATCCCGCCATTGTGTTATTGTGCTGTGGTCATTTTTTGTATTATTGTCTTTCATTTGTTCTTATGTGCTTTGTCTATATGCAATTTTGTTTTTCTTTGTTGATATATTTGTTTGTTTTTATAGTGATTAAGATTATAACACAATGTTGACTGCTGTATCCCTAGTTTTGACAGTTTGACTTATTATGTCTGTTTGTTTTGTTCACACATTGTTGTCAATATAATGGAATTTTATGCGACTGTCATACAAGTGAGAGGTTTAATCCACCATTTTCTACATAAGGAAATGTCTGTACCAAGTCAGGTATATGACAGTTGTTTTCCATTCGTTTGATGTGTTTGAGCTTTTGATTTTGCCATTTGATAAGGGACTTTCCGATTTGAATTTTCCTTGGAGTTCGGTATTTTTGTTATTTTACTTTTTGTTAATTCAATGACTTATGACAACTAAACCTACATTGGTAAATTACATTGTATTCAAGTACTTTGATAATTGTTATTTCGAACTTTAACCTTATACTTACAACTTAGCTAAATATTTTGAAAAACGCTTTAGGAACGTCTAACTAATATACGTATTTATAGATTTCATTGAATGAAAACCTTTGATAACAGAAACTAAATACTATTGCTCATGACCAATTGCAATGCTTTCAATTTTGTCCATTCTTGTATAGTATAATACCATATGTCCTAACCGTTTGCGTTTATATCTCAAATTATACGGTATATCAAGGCAACATTAGTCAGTCGAATGTTTAAATCTCATAAATCGATTATTTTTGTTATTTTACTTTTTACTTGCTTGCATATCTTAATAATCTTCGTTATTTTACAGTATTATCATGAATAACAAAAAGAACGTTGGTACGGTGGATCAATATTTTGATATGTTGATACAAATTGTACTGGTTTGAAAAAGAAACAGGTCGCAACATTGAAAAAAAGGAAGCAAGTTATAACTGTAAAAAAAGTTATTTAACCGTTTTTTTACTTCTGTCTGTTTTTTTCTTCAAATATGGAGAAAGCAGAGTTTTTGCCTCTACTAACCTCTCCGTTTTGCCTCTACTAACATAACCTTGTCTAGATGCGCTAGCACTATTTTTACCTGTAATTTTTAGCCCTGTTTATCACTATCACTGAAATGCCTGTACCAAGTCAGGAATATGACAGTTTGATGTGTTTGAAGTTTTGATTTTGCACTTTGATAAGGGACTTTCCGATTTGAATTTTCCTTGGAGTTCGGTATTTTGTTATTTTACTTTTTACAAATTACAAACAACATATCTAATAACAATATCAAATTACGCAAAGCACTGTTTTCCACTTAACTACTAACGGTTTTACCTGTAACTGCAAACCCACAGCATCTTTGTCTCCTGTAACTGCAAACCCACGGCATCTTTGGTACCTGTAACTGCAAAACCACATCATCGTTTGCAAATACACTTCGTAACAACAGAGCCGTCTAAGAATGTAACAACTCACCTTCAACTCCGTTAATAAACGCTAGTAAAAGGACAGCAAGAAACAGCAACATTAAAAGGCTTGTCCTGAAACGTGAATTAAAACAATTAGAATTAACCGGAAATTGTAACAATCATTTATTACAACAAAGATACACTGCTGATTTAGTAAAATGTCTCCTGTGTTTTAATACTAGTAATTCGCTGCCAGATCGTTTTTGCATTCATGATTGTTTATTTTGAGTTTTTTTATCTAGTTTTACAATATGTATTGAAGCTTTTTAAACATAGAAGCCACTGTATTGAACATTTAAGTTCGTGGTTCACCTGTACCCATGAAATACACAACAATTGATGTCCAACGAATAATAATCCACAGTATGTATTACATATAGGTAAAAAATGAATAAGTAAGTAAGTAAGTAAATAATTCACTAATCTACCTTGAGGCCCTCACTAAGAACAAAGAGTACAAGTATTACAAAGCTTACAATTTTGAACATATTATGTAGATGCAATATTTATGCTTACTATACATTGTCTGTAGAACAAGAGAAAATTAAATTTATATATATACATAAAGTACAAAATCATTAAAATATATGAGTGAGTTAAATCATTTATAGCCAAGAAATCTATACATTTTTGTTTAAAATGTCCAGATTTTCACAACATTTTATTTCACTTGGTAGTTTATTCCAAAGTATTGGGGAGCTATACGCGAAAGATTTCTTCATTGAACTTGTGTTCGGTCGCACAACAGCTAAATTATTATTTGCAGATGACCTTAGATTTCTACTATGTATGTTAACAATTGAACAACAGAGTTCCTTTAAGTAATCAGGTACTTTATCATTGAGAATTTTATGAACAAGAATAAGTTTATGATATGAAATTCTAGATTTGAAATTTTACCATTTTAGCTCTTTAAATAAATTTATACTAGGTGTTAGTATTAATAAATTAATAATTAATAATGAATGAATCAATTCCTGATGAAACTTTTTGTAACTTTTGTAACACAAGTGTGAGAAAAGATTTATACTTCAAAATGATCGGAGGCAAAGGTTGCAATCGATTGTCCAAATGATTTTTTTAAATTTCTGTTGGACCTATTTCAACGAAGATTCGTTGAACAAAAAAAGATTTGATTTATGATTTGATAGATATTTTAGGTTAACCATGTAAATCAAATGATTCGCTGTTTTGATAAACCAATATAAATGTCATACATATTTCGAAGTTCATATATTTTGCCGCGTACACACTTAAACTGTATACCTTTTGTCGATATTATGTTTCCACTTTATAATAATATTGCTGTATTGATGAGATTTGACAAAAGTTCTCTCTTTTTTCCGATTGACATACCCTTTTAGTGGATTGTTATAATGCATTGTTTTTAGGACGGTTAAGGTTTTTGAAATTATATTTCGGCAAAACATAATCAAAATAAAATAGAATACTAATTGCTTCTATCCACGTCACTTGAACATTTGTGAATATTTGTCTCACGGGCAATCATACCACATCTCCTTGTTTCTACAACTTGAAAAAAACCTTACCAATATTTTTTGACCCGAGCTTCTACACTGTTTTAAAGGGTATTCTATCCGAAAAGGAGTTCTGACACGTACGAAGAAACTCACTTACAATGAAACTCCTTTTATTTATTCCATGTGACAAATAAAATGCAGCATGTGTTTCATATCAGAATCACGTTACGTCAAAGCTGAATGTTAACTGAATATACTTCCTGAATACAAACATTCAAATATAAGGGATTGCAGCGTATAAATCCTCCCTACCATGTTAATATTATTCTTCATTAATTGTACATGTAAAATATAAATAGTTCAATAGGAGTTTCCACATTACTTGTGTAAACACTGGATTACTGTATATTTGATTATGCTGTAACAACATTTTACTCATTAAACAAGTAAAATGATGCATAAACATATACTACACATCATAAGTCATATAGCAGTGTCTTAATATAATCAGTTGACAATTATCAAGTGAAATTGGTCAATATTCATAACTGGAAACGAAAACAAATTCAAATATTCTATTTTGATTTTGTGCTTGTTAGAATTTAAAGAACGAAAAAAGGATAGGTGTGTGTTATATGTATTACGCAGTGAGATAAAAGAGTTTAAAGTACTTTTTATATGACGAGGATCCTTTTTGACATAAATTATAACTAAAAAACTCATCAATGATACTTGGCTTATTATTTTTGTTCGCCAGACTCTCGTTTCGTCTACACAAAACTCACCATTGACGCTCTAATCAAAAAAGTTAAAAAGCCAAATAAAGTAAGAAGCTGAAGAGCATTGAAGACCCGAAATTTCGAAAGGTTTTGCCAAATACTTCTAATTTAAATCAATAAATTCCTTTCTTCAATGCTGAAGCTGTTAGTGTAGTTACAAAACAAAGATGATTTAATTCTTCCCTCTTTTTAAAAACTAAAAAGTTGAAATACCAGTAATATGTTTCTCCCTTAGTATGATTCTCAGAATCGAAGGGCGAATCTACGTAATTAAAATATACTATTTTCAGGAATGATATAGCCGTATAATTACAATTAATGAGAAGGTATGTTGAGGCAACGTATTAGTCCAAAAAAAATGTATGATAAATCTGCATACAATAATATTTGAATAAGAAATTATCAAAACACTAAGGTTCCAACTACTTAAGGATAATCCAGAAAATCGGTTCAAACTCAAAAAATTCATAACGTGTTATTTTCATTTTACAGTTTCCGGAATATTTCTTGATTCGTCCATACAAGTATGAATGTATATTGGCTTCATTTGGGGACTGTGTCAGTTGATTTCAAAATTATAATATATTTTTTGACTTTCTCCTATTGAATGTGGGAAATGATAAAAACATCGTTAAAACAAATGTCCCTTTTCTATTTAATTAATCTAAAAGTCAGTTATGTAAAATAAATTAACTAAATATATTTTTTTCTTTTCTGAAATAAGATCCATTTAAAATAGTACTATATATTAAAAGTTCTGCTTAATAAGCAGTTTAATGATGTAGTTTCAAATAAATGAATGGGAGCCATTGTTCTAAAATATACAATTAAAAGAATGTTATAGAGGAACATTATTTAATTGAACAGAACAAAGAAAAAACATTTCATATGTACTGTAAAAGAATCTTTTTTCTCTGTACTTTTTAAATTATATATCGTTACTCTATATCTTTTTTTTTTTTAATTGTATGTTTTAGGCCAATGACTCTTCATTTGATTGAACTACATCATTAAAAAATCATAAAACTGCTTATTAAGAAGACTTTTTGATGTTTGGTAAAATTAATACATAGATCTTATTTCAGAAAAAGAAAACAAAATTTAGTTAATCTATTTTACATAACTGACTTTTAAATTGATTAAATAGAATGTAGAAAAAGGAAATTTGTTTAATGATGTTTTTATCATTTTCGATCGCGACATCCTATAGGAAAAAGTTTACAAATATATAATAATTTTGAAATAATCAACTGACACAGTCCCCAGATGAAGCCAATACACATTCATACTGGTATTGACGAGCCATGAAATGTTCCGAAAACTGTAAAATGAAAATAACACGTTAAAAGATTGCATGCATCAGATGCGCTTTTCTGGATTTACCTTCAGCATGGAATGCCAAAACTCAAAACTGTGATAGCCAGGAATATCTTAATACTTATATAATAAGAAACGTTCAACTTGGGAGTTATATAACTAAAAGATACATAAAAAGAAAATTCAAATTCATCTAATGTTTAATTTTCCTTTGAAACGAAATTGTTCATATTTTTTTTTTAATTAATATAAAAAAGAAGCTGTGGTATGATTGCCAATGAGACAACTCTCCACAAGAGACCAAATGACACAGAAATTAACAGCTATAGGTCACCGTACGGCCTTCAACAATGAGCAAAGCCCATACCGCATAGTCAGCTATAAAACGCCCCGAAATCACAAATGTAAAACAATTCAAACGAGAAAACTAACGACCTTATTAATGTACAAAAAAATCAACGAAAAACAAATAAGTAACACAACAACAAACGAAAACCACTGAATTACAGGCTCCTGACTTGGGAAAGGCGCATACATACAGAATGAGGCGGGGTAAATTATTCAGTCCTTTTGAGGTTTTCTACAATACTATTAGTTAATTTAATATTACCGTAAGATGTAAAGATATAGATGTCTTTAAATCAATAAAACTTAAAGCAGTTGAAACGTATTTCTATCTTAATAGTATTATAAATATTTTTTTCGAATCTCTATACTATAAGAGTTGATTCCAAAACCAATTGTCTCATTTTTAGATACCTAGCTACATTCACTTGTGCATTGTGTAAACATAAATATCTTTCTTGGTTAACTATAATTTAATCTATTCGTCCTGTGTGACAGTTTGTCCTTCGTCATTCAAAATTTAAAAAAATTAAAAACATGCTTTAGCTGAAGAAATTTTATTGATAAAATATAATACTGTATTCCAGGGAGGCAGTAGACAAGAATCGGTGAACAGTCAGTTTTCTGGAAAGTGTTCTGCGAACTGTAATACAGTCAAAGTATTCAGTTTTAACATAATAAAAGAAAAATGAAAAAAGAAAACAAGTGATGATTCATAAATGAATAATACATAAAACCGTCAACTTAATCTTCAATAATAGGGTGGGACTGTCTGTGATAGATTTAACTCAGTAATGCGTTTGTAACATTCACTTTCATCAATTCTTTTAAAAATAAAAACAACACGTTATTAAGTTCATGCGTCCGAAAGCTTTTCTGGATTTACCTTCATCAGGAACAATCAAAGCCGAATATTTGAAAGCCGAGGATGTATAAGAACCAAAACAATTGAAGAGCTGTATGACAAAAAAGTACCTAAAAATTAGCCAAATTCATTTTAGAAAGGTTTGTTATAAATCATGTCAGCATCAAAGTACTGACTACTAAGCAGATAATACCCTCGGGGACTGATAGTCCACCAGCAGAGGTATCGACCCAGTGCTGTAAAGAGTGACAAAAGATGTCAAAGTGACATACAAACTCATATGTCGA